GAGATAACAATTTTGGTCTAAAATTCTTCCCCACTTTTTTCTGCAAATACACAGATAGATACTTTTGCTTTACAAAAATGGGCTCATACCATACAGACCATTCCCAAATTGCTTTTCCCACTTGCATCATTCCTTGTTAGGATTTTAAATTAGCCCTGCAATAAACATATGCCCTCTGGACAGACTTTCTATAGCAATAGTTTCCAAACTTTTTAATCTCAGACCCTCATCACACTCTTGAAAATTATTAAGCCTGGCGTGGTGGCTCATGCCTGAAATCCCAGAACTTTGGGAGGTGAGAGCAAGAGGATTGCTTGAGCCTAGGGGTTCAAGACCAGCCTGGGCAACTTGGTGAGACCTTGTCTCAACAATAAATTTAAAAATTAGCCAGGTGTGGTGGTGCTCGCCTGTGGTTCCAGTTGCTTGGAAGGATCACCTGAGCCCAGCAGGTGGAAGCTGCAGTGGCCGTGATTGTGCCACTGCACTCTGGCCTGGATGGCAGTGAGACTCCGACTCTCCCCCCCAAAAAAACAAAATTATTGAAGGCCCCAAAGAGCTTAGTTTATATAGGCTGTCTCATCAATATTTTGATATTTACCATATTAGAAATGAAAACTGAAATTTTAAAATACATTTATTCATCGAAAATAAATTTTTTTTTTTTCTGAATCAGAATCTCACTCTGTCACCAAGACTGGAGTGCAGAGGAATGATCAGGGCTCACAGCAGCCTTGACCTCCTGTTTCAGGTGAGGCTACAGGCACACACCACCATGCCTGGCTAATTCTTTTTTTTTGAGTTGGCATCTCACTCTGTCATCCAGGCTGGGGTGCAGTAGCACACTCACTGCCACACCAGCATCAACCTGCTGGGCTCAGGAGATCCTTTCGCCTCAGCCTTCCAAGTAGCCAGAACTATAGGCGCGCGCTACCATGCCCAGCTAATTTTTTAAAAATTTATTGTAGAGATGAGATCTTGCCAAGTTGCCCAGGCTGGTCTCAAACCCACGGGCTCAAGCAATCCACTCACCTCAGCCTCCCAAAGTGTGGGATTACAGGCTGAGCCGCCACCAAACCCAGCCAATTTTTTAATCTATTGTAGAGAGAAGGTCTCACCAAGGTTGCCCAGGCTAGTCTCGAACCTCTGGGCTCAGGCAATCCTCTTACCTCGGCCTCCCAAAGTGCTGGGATTATAGGTGTAAGCCACAGCACCAGGCAAAAAATATTTTTATTACTGGAAAATGACTGTTCCCCCCTGCCAAAAAAAATAGACTTTCTAGATAATTGTAGATAAGTATTCTTTGATGCTATACCAAAACTCAGTAAATGTCAGTTACTTTTTTTTTTCTTTTGAGTCGTAGACTCCCTGTCGCTCAGGCTGGAGTGCAGTGGCATACTCACAGCCACCACAGCCTTGACCGGTTAAGCTCAGGAGATCCTTCTGCCTCATCCTTCCAAGTAGCTGAAACCACAGGCATGCGCCACCACGTCCGGCTATTTTTTTTGATTCGTTGTACAGATGAGGTCTTGCCAAGTTGCCCAGGCTGGTCTCGAACCCTTGGGCTCAGGCAGTCCTCTCACCTCCACCTCCCAAAGTGCTAGGATTACAGGCATGAGCC